TCTGCTAATGCAGATAAGGTCCTCCAGTCAAAAATTCTTTCCTAATGTCAGAAGAGAAAATCTTATTTGCGGATAGAAATATGCAGCTTTGTATGCTCTTTCCAGCTAGCAGTATGAGAACGCTTGATAGTATTAGATAAGGCCAGATTTCGCTGTTCTGACACTCCTAAAAATGCTTCAATTCACAGCTTATGGCCGAGGAAAAACCGTGTTCGGAATAATTTTTCCATGGACCGACAGGGGTCTTTACATACCTCCAGTAGGACTATCGGTTGCATATATTCAAACCTTCCCGGCTTTTAGCTCATGTAATACTGGGCGGACCTGTGCGGTGAGGGTGAGGGTTCTTGTGGTGTAGGTTGTGTGGAGGGATGCTACGTAGGAGCATGCCTGAAGACGCAACGTCCGCAGCCATGAGTCGATCATAATCGCTGAGGGATCGGTGCGAGACGGGCGACGCTGGTACAGCAACATGATAATCATTCCGTGCCTGTAGCTTGACTGATTTGACGAAATATTCCTGTGGTTTATCGAGCTGTTGATCGTGATTCAATTTTAAAAAAAATATTTTCAATAAATTACAACTTTTTCATATAACTAACATAAAACGTTGAAAGGAGACCCAGCTGAACTTTGCTGTAGTTATTGAACGGTCTAAGACGATTGACATCAAATACAATTGTACGAATTAATCAGGAAAAATAAAATTTATTACGAAAATAGACTTTAATTCTAAATTGTATCATAAGTGACAATCCATATATACAAATATATATCGATATCATTCATATAAAATCAGTATTTTGGTTAATTGTAATACTTAATCAAAAGAAAAATACCGTTAAGTCGATAAGTAAAGTTTGTTTCCTAGATAAAAGTTAAATTGTAATACATGGATTTTATAAAACAAAAATGCAAAACTGACGATACAACACCGACGCCTTCTTCAGCAATCATATAGGGTGAATTTAACATATCAGTTAATGATTTTATTTGATTACTAAGTATATGTCTACATTGTCCATCAAACAATTTCATCAATTGATAATTGCTGATATTCAAATGGCATTCGTATATTAATGTAAAATGGAACAAATTCATTCCAATCAGTTCTTGACTTATACGATCAATTATTTCATTTGGCAATAGAGACAAATACGACATATGCAAAACCAGATACAATAATTATTAAGGAACAGATGGAAAAGAATGTAATTATTCAACTACCTAATAATAGAATGACAGTTTATATCAATTTCATTTAGCGCTCAAATAATTTCATATAAGTAAATTGTTGACAGATTATCCAATTTTTGGCCAAACAAACTAACATTTGATACAATCAAGCTATATCCAAATATTTCCCTGGAAAAAACTAGCTGCAGTCCGTATTTCAGTTAAATTATTACCATAAAAACGTAGTTTGAAAAAATGAGGATATATTCTGAAAGCGCGTGGAGTTTTCTATCACCCTGTAACATTTTCGTTTGGATTTAAACATTACCAAAAAGGCCGAGTATAATGAAGCCACCCTCATGTCTAGATTAAATTTCAAATTTCTGAAAGTATTCAATTATGATGTAAATTTGCACCATTAAATAATGATCTTTTTTAAAAGAAGATTAGTTTCGGACAAGAAATTGCTGATTCAGGGACAAAGAAAGTGTCAAACACTATTTAATAAAGTGTCCACTTTACTAATCAGAAAGAGTTGCAATTTTTTAATCCATCATTCATTAGTTGACAATGCTCAACTATCTTTAAACACTCTTTTTTCAACTAAGAAATTTGATTGTGATACATAAGTATATGCTTCTATTATTCGAACTTTATTAAGGTGTCGATTAATCGTAATTATGTTCATAAAAAT